GATGATGATGATGCTGATGATGATGACGATGATGATGATGATGATGATGATGATGATGATGATGATGATGATGATGATGATGATGATGATGATGAGGTGGACGAGGAGGAGGAGGAGAAGGAGGAGGAGGAGGAAAAGGAGGAGGAGGAGGAGGAGGAAAAGGAGGAGGAGGAAAAGGAGGAGGAGTAGGAGCAGGAAAAGGAGGAGCAGGAAGCGGAGGAGGAGGAGAAGGAGGACGAGCAGGAGGAGGAGGAGAGATGAGGTTGGAGGAGGGCGGAGTAGCCAGGAGGAGGGAGGAGGGGCCAGGAGGAGGGATCGTCCACGGCGAAAACGCCCCTGGTTGGCTCGCCCTCTCCGCAGGCCTCGGCATCTGCCGCGGCCTGCTCCGGGCGGGGGCCACCGTCATCGCCTCCAGCACGTCCAGACAGACGCTGGCCCAGGTCAGGGAGCGCTTCGGCGACCCCGAGGAGGGGTGGACGACGACGACGACGACGACGACGACGACGACGACGACGACGACGACGACGACGACTTCGAACTCGCTGAAGAGGTAAACGACGACGATCGATCCGACGACGACGAGGGGGGCGGCGACGGCGATTACGACGTGTGCGGGGGGCCGCGGCCGCCTCGCTTTGGAGCCGTCTGGGGGCCCCAGGTGGCCCGGCACTGGTTCCGGCCAGCAGGGGGGGGGCGGGGGGCGAGGTCCGAGGTCCTGGGCCCGAGGCAGTCTTTCGTCCTTTTCGGCCTCCGAGGGGCGCCCGCGAGCCCGGCCCAGAGACCCCCCTCGGGTCGTGGAAGAATCCCGGCGAGAGGTTTTTCTGCAGTTTCTGCCTCTGGGGGGCCCTCACGGGGCCTCGGGACCGTCAAATAACGACTCTGGATGAAAAGCCGATCCTGGGGAATGGGTCGAGACTTTTTCGGGGTATACGCTATGAACAAATCTTTACGTCGGGTGTCTTGGACTGATCTGAAAAAAACAATTGCAGCGGACGGGCCCCGGGAGGGGTCCGGGGACCGATTGCGAGCGGATTTGCCTTTGTTCCCCTAGTGCAGACGGCCCGCATAGTTAGGATGAGCGATTTTCCAAGGTTACCCTTGCATCCTTCCCGTCGGCCTATCCTTGGTCGCTTTCGCTGGCCGCGCCCCGCCCGCAAAGTGTCGACATGGCCTTCCAAGCCACTTGTAGCCTTATCGTGCGCCCTTATCGTGCGGGTCGATAATACATCGGCTTTCTCTCGGGGAGGGTACCCTGATGTTCGCCGTGCATGTTGGATCTTCTTGCGTATCCTGGGAGAGGTTACCCGCGAATGATCTTATGGTTTGGGCTCGCGGAGCGACCCGTGCCCTTGCAGGACGTTGCTATGTCCTATGTCTGGCAGCAGACCGATGTTCTTTCCGGGCCACCCGACGCAGGCCCCTCGGCCGCTTTCAACGGTGCGGTGGGTCGGGGGCACCTCGACCCGCTCCACGCTGCCACCTCCACCCCTTTCCTCGAAAGTGAGTATGGCAAGGTAGACACAGGGGCCTTCCCCCCTGTCCTTCCCCGGCATCCGACGATGTGCTTCCCCAGATAGCTTGTCTGCAATCGAAAAAGAAAAGACTGCATAAGCACACATTTCTGGCGCTGGCGGTACCTCGTGCTGACTCCCGTGGCCTCTAGTTTTCCCCCGACGTCTTATCACAATTATTATCTCTATCCCTACCCCTGTCCCTACCCCTCTGCCCCGAACCCTTCCGCTTATCCAGCTTATCCTTTTCTAGATCCCTTCCCCAACCCCCCATTGTGGCCCCATCGTAACAGTGTAAAGTTGGTGATGGTCTTCTGCCGCAAGGATGTTACTTTCAGTGTGGGGCACAAAGGTCCCGACCCTTCCTCAGGGATAGCTCCCTATCACGGATCCTCTTTTGATGTCCTTGGGGCCCCATAAGGGACCCTACATCGTTTGAGTTAAAAAACTACAAGTCCCAGATGAAAATTTACTCGACGAGGACCCCCTTGTGTGCAACCCATTGCCTGGCACTTCCCATTGTGAATGTCTGAGCTTGAACGACTCGATCAAGTAAGCGATGTTGATGGCACATATCAATCAATAGGTTCTGCTAAGAAATGCCGATCGCTCCTTTTTGTGATCGACACAGCATGCAGGCCAAGCCAGTACTCTTTTAGCACTGCCTGCTGTCTCGACGGATCGGACAAGGCGGTGTGTGTGTGTGCGGTGCGCTACATCGTGATGATCATGCGTCTCTAGCTGCAGGGGATTCGAAGGTGCCAAACGAGCGCCTCGCTCGGGGCATCCCACAGCCCCACAATCTGGCTTCGAACAGGCGAGTGCAACACCCCCAGGCGCCCCCCCCTCCTCCCCTAGTGGAGCTGAATCGAGCGCCTCGCTCGAGGCATCCTCACAATCTGCCCTGAATGCACGGGGGTCGCGGACGCCAAGCGAGTGCCACGGCGAGCGACTGGCTGGAGACGTCCTGACAGCCTGCTCTGAAACCAAGGGGAGCCACCGACGCCAGACGAGCGCCGCGCGCAGGACATCCCCGCAGTCTGGCCGCGAGCGGGCGAGCATCCCCTTCCCTGGCGGCGCCCCCGCGGGGGGTGCCGAAACAAGCAAGCGCTCCGCTGCAGACGAAACCGCTCCACCAGCGCTGAGAAAGCGGAGGAGCCGCCGACGCCAACCGGCCGCCACGACCCGGCCTCCCACGGGCAGGTGTCTTACAGTGGAGGCCCGAGCCAGGAAGCACCCTGGGTTCTTTGGTGACGAGGGTTTCGATGGTTCTGCCATGGAAAGCGTAACGCTCCCACATCAAAAATCAGTGGACGCCCTGGGGGTGTCAGGGTTGGGTTTCTTGTGGAAAGTTTCCTGTGGTCGGGCTCCTGCTGTACCCCACTGCGGCTCGCCCTTGGGGTGCCGAAGCGAACGCCTCTCGCTGGAGACATCCTCGCAGTTCTGGTCCGAATGAAGGTGAGGAGCTGCTGACGCCCAACGAGCACCTCTCTCTGTTCTAGGACTCCAGGATTGGGTCGGAGTAGATTGGGTCGGAGGATCGCTCCGCATCGCGGATGCATCGGTGATGCGGCTCGATGTGGAGCTGGAGTTGCGTCACGTCGACGTCGGCGATGCATAGTCGATGTATCGACGATGCGGCGCGATCCTCCGACCCCATCTACTCCAACCCCATCTGGGAGGCCTCTCTCAGTGGACATCGCCGTCGACCTGGCCTCGAACGCGAACGGTCGAGCGGCTCCCCTTCGGGGTGTTAAGCACAAGCGCTCGCTGGGGGCATCCTTGCAGTCCGTGGCGGCCACGAGTCTGCCGTCGGCTGAAGCCCCACACGCCGCCGCGCTGGTCCCGGGCAGGCTGTGCTGCCTGGCGGAGGGGGACGAGGCAGACGAAGTCGCCGACGCCCAGCGGGCGCCTCGCTCTGGACCTCCCCACAAGCTGGCCTCGAGCGGTGCTCCCCTCCCCCTCCTCCTCCTCCTCCCCCTCCTTCCCCTCCTCCTCCTCCTCCTCCTCCTCCTCCTCCTCCTCCTCCCCCTCCTCCTCCTCCTCCTCCTCCTCCTCAGGCATCCTCGCAGTCTGCTTTGAAAGCAGGGGAGTCGCCGACGCCAAACGGGCGCCTCGCGCAGGATATCCTCAGAATCTAGCCGCGAACGGGCGAGTGTCTCCCTCTCCCCTGCGGCTGCCCATATGAGGGAGGCTGCGTCTAAGTGGGCCTTGAGTTTGTGTGAGTGTGGGCGTGAATGATCTGATTGTGAGTGGTGTGAATGTGCGTGCAGTGAGTCGGAGGGTGAGCGGATCTGTGCGTCTTCAAGCTTGAGTCCTTGAGCGAGTCTGAGTGTGAGTGAGTCTGGGTCTGAGTATGAGGAAGTCTGAGTGTGAGTGAGTCTGAACATGAGCGGCATTTGATTGGTGTGATCTCTGAGCGTGGATGAGTCTGAGCGTCAGTGCGTCTGAGTAGGAGGAGGACGGCAGGAAGGAGGAATAATGGAGGCGGAGGTATCACCATCTGGACGTGGGGAACAACAAGTTGTCGCATACCACGGGGTGCTCCAAATGATATCTATCTCCCCTCCTCGCCGCTCCAAGCCGCCCTTTGCGATCTTTTTCACGAAGCGAGCATCTCTGGGCCGAGAGCTGCCTCTTAACCTCTCGTCACGCAAACACTGCAACGTCGTCACAAGTCACGACCGCAACCCTTCGGGGGTGGACAGACCTCCTACCCTGACACGTCGATTAGTGAATTGGCCGTTTTCGGTTCGCGAGAGGGCGTCGCGGCCGTCATTTTTGCGGGTCCAGGCCCGTCGGTTTCGGTCCCAGGCCGTTTTCACTAAGAGGAGGTTTACTAAAGGGAGGTTTGTCCACCGCCGAACCCTAGACCAAAATGTTCCGCGCCATTTTGAGAGCTGCATCGACCGGTGGTGGTCCTGTGGCCCGAGAATTTGGGCTTGATCGCTGCGCGTGAACAGAATTTTGCAGCGCCCAGATCTCGGGGCTGGAGTGCTCCAGATCCTTCTTCGCCTCCTCGCAGGAGGAGGAGGAGGAGGAGGAGGAGGAGGAGGAGGAGGATGAGGAGGAGGAGGAGGAGGAGGAGGAGGAGGAGGATGGAGGAGGGGAGGAGGAGGAGGAGGATGGAGGAGGAGGAGGGAGGAGGAGGAGGAGGAGGAGGAGGAGGAGGAGGAGGAGGAGGAGGAGGAGGAGGAGGAGGAGGAGGAGGACATCGGCCCGGTGCCCGGCACCATGCACCAGGGGGCGGGGGCGGCACGCGAGCCCCCCCGCTCGGGGGCTGAAGCTGGATCTCCTCCTCGGGGGCGGGGCGACCTGCGTGCGGGGGGGGGGGGGCGACTTGCAGCGGGCCTGACGCAGGAGCGCCCTCGCCCGGTCTGGCTCGCTCTTGCCCAGCCATACGGCAGGCCATGCCGAAGGCCGGAGTTCTCGCGTGCGGTAGTCAGCCGTTGACTACAATCGGTGCGGTTACGCCGGGGTGCGGTTTGCGAGTTGCTTCGTGGCGGCCTTTCTGGGGCCTTTGTGAGAGACGATGTCATAGCTGTCGTCGTTTCGAGCCACACTGTCATCCTCGATGTGTGCTCCACTGTACCAGAAGGAGCGTCGTTGTCATGCGATTCGGTCGCATTGAGTGGCAGTGTCATCCGTTTCCCGGGGGCGGGAGGGGCAGATATGACGGGAGGCAAACCGCACCCATTGTAAACGCCGAGTCAGTGATAGGGGGGGTTCTCTCTCATTGTGACGTTATTTTCGCTGGGCCGACGAGCCTCCGCAGTGTTGCAGTGTTCCCAGCCTGCCCCCCCCGCAGAACCTCGTCACGGTGCTCGGCACCATGCAGCCCGAGGGAGCCGCGCTGCTGGTGCAGGAGGTGCTGGGGCTCCCCGAGCTGCGGGGCCGGCAGCTCAACCACGTGGTGGCGCACACGTCGGTGCGCTCGGGGAGACCACCGTCGGAGATTGGAGCACATACGTTACCAGTGGCGGGCTGTTTGGCAATCCCAGGATTTGTTGAGAGTCGGGGGCGACGTCGGGGTGGTGTGGTGTATACCCTTTTCCCCGTTTTCCCGTGGGAACAACGAAAAATGTATAAACCAGGATCCCGTAATTATACACCAGGCTCCGCTTTCCTGTGCGAGTTCCAGTGCGGGGCCAGAAAAAGCGTCGGTGTATACAGTTCGGTTCCTTACATCTTGTACCAGCCTGCAACATACCGCTCTCCCTCTGATCGGCATCACCGTCTCTCGATGCTGATCGCAGGCGTTACCTCAGTTTCTCGGGCCAGACGAAAGGGGGGGGATAGGGAAAGGGGGGGGTGCGGAATTTGCTGCATGCAGCTGGTTTCGGCCCCGCCGCCGGGACCAGTCCTCGATACGTAGCCGCCTCCGGCGCCAGGAGGCGCCAGGAAAATCAGCTACGTGAGCTGATTCTCAACCCCCCCGTTTGCTATCCCCCCCTTTCGCCCGGCCCGAGTTTCTGAGTGCTGCATTCCTGAGGGTGCCACCGCCGCTTTGTGCTTGTCACTCAAACGGATCGGGATACGCGGGAGGCTGCTTAAACGTGCCAACCCAGATCTCCGACGATGAGATCCTCTAACGGCGTTTCGCCAGCTGGATCGTGCCAGGTTGGGCCTGCTTTCGACCACGGATAATTATATACAAGCGCCGATGCTGAATCTATCTTGCTTCCCCTGACCCTGACACCCGACGGCGCGAACAGGTTGACGGGTCGCACGAAGTCACGACCGGAGCCCCAGACCCCCGATTTCCCGAGCCGGATATCGATCCGCGAGGGTTCCAGAGCCCGAAGCCGGGCGAAGGTGCTTGGCTCAAGACAGCTGGGACGCTAGGGCGCAATATTGGTGTTCGTAGCATCTAGCCAACACGTCCGACGTCCGCCCCGTGAGAGGGACGTTGGTCGCGCGGCGATGTTCCGACGCAAGACGTCCGCCGGGAGTCCGATGCACATCCGCCGCAGTCCAGCGCAAGCCCTACGCCCTACCCAACTCCGCCGTGGGTTCGACGCACAGTCAGCCCGCATAGTAGGGATCTACCCTCGCATCCTTGCCTCCTCGGCCCATCCTTGTCCACTTTCGGTGGCCGCGCCCCGCTCGAAACGCTTCGAAACGGGCTTCCAAGGCCCTTGCATCCTCACGGCGCATACTTTTGCGACGGGACTGTACATAATTTGGGCCTCGAGTTGCCGCGCGAGGCCTCCAGCGGAGTTCCTGGGCGCCGCGCCACACAGGCCACCGAGGCGTGGGCAGGCTGGCGCCACCCCCGCGGGTGCGGAATTTGTGCATCTCACAGCAGCTGCATCCTGGAGCTGGGGTGGACGGCGCAGGAGGGAGGAGGCAAGGGGGTTCGGTAGCAAATCATGGAAGCCTGGCATACCCTCTTAATTGCGTCTTGAGCGTCGCCCAGAGCCTCAAGACGCAACGAACATGTCACGAATGTCGGCGTTCCCTACGTCGCATCGCGATCTTCCTCATACTGGCATAGGAGATTCTGCATTCGTGGCTGCATTTACTTCAACGGGCGTGTTTGTTGCTATTCTCCTAATCGCTGGCGAGAGTTACGGCCAGAATGCGGGAAACGTTTTCAGGTCACCTGGCCCCTTTTGGGCCCCGCGGAACACGATGCAATGCAACATATTGGAAGCGATAGATGCAAGAGTGCACTGGTGAGCTACCCAGCTCAGCGGTGCGCCAGGAGCTAACCTACTCATGACTCCACAGGGCTCCCACAAGAACGCGTAGTTCTCAACGCCCACTTACTGTGCTCACCGGGACGGCGCGGATGACGATGGTGCATGTTGCCGCATATCTTCTAAATTGGCGCCTGAGCTTGCGCCGGCACCAGCCCCGACTCAAGCATGAACGCCTACGCCTGCACCAGCGCCAGCGCCTACACAAGCACCGGCGCCAGCACCGACGCCAACACCAACACCAGCGACTACGCCAGCACCAGCGCCTGCGACTAAAATGGTACCGACGCCGGCACCGACGCCAGCCCCAACGCTGGCGCCTTCGCCAGCGCCGACGCCAGCACCAATGCCAGCATGTACGCCTGCGATTGCACCGACACCAACACCAGCGCCTCCAACGACGATGTCAACTCCTATTCTAGCATCAACGCCAGCGCCAGCACTGATACCGGTACCGACGCCAGCATCGACGCCAGCACAGACGCCGGCGCTTACGCTAGCACCGACGCCGTCATCGACACGAACGCCTGCGATTGCGCTGGCACCAACGCTAGCGCCTACGCCAGCCCCGACGCCAGCAATGACGCCAGCACGACCGCCAGCGCCTGTCGGGCCGACATTGGGCCGCAGCTAGGTGGCCAGAGCTCGGGGGACAAATCGCGCCCCCCTCTACACAAAGCACATCAACATGTCACGGAGACGGTGCGTGTGCGCACCAGTGCTAGCACCATCGCCAGCACCTTCGCTGGCCTCGACGCCAGTACCGACACCAGCACAATCGCCGGCGCCTGCGCCAGCGCTGACGCCAGCACCGACGTCAGCATGAACGCCTGCGATTGCGCAGGCACCGGCGCCAGCCTCTACTCCAGCGCCGCGTGCTGCACTGACGCCAGCACAAACGCCGACACCAATGCTGAACCTACCGCATCACCGACGTCATCTCCGACGCCAACACGAACGCCTACACCTACAACAGATCCGACGCAAGCACCCTCGCCAGCATGAACGCCTGCAATGGCGCCGGCAGCATCGCCAGCGCCTACACTAGCGCCACCGACAGCACTAACGCCAGGGCGAAAGCTGGCGCCTGCGACATTACCAACGCCAGCGCCTACACCATCACCGGTGTCATCACCGACGCCAACACTAACGCCTACACATACACCAGCACCGACGCCAGCACCCCCGCCAGCATGAACGCCCGCGATGTTGCTGGCATCGACGCCAGCGCCTACACCAGCAACGCCAGCACGAATGCTGGCGCCTGCGACAACACTAACGCCAGCGCCCACACCAGCATCGATGTCATCACTGTCGCCAGCACGAACGCCGATACCTAACCCAGCACCGACGTCAGCACCGACATCAGCACTAATCCATACGATGACCCAGCACCAACGCCAGCGCCTACACCATCGTCGACGCCAGCACTGTCGCCAACACGAACGCGGGCGCTTGCGCGCACACTAACGCCAGCGACTACACCAGCACCGATGTCACCGCCGACGCCAGCACCAACGCCGACGCCTACACTAGCACCGACGCCAGCGCCGACGCCAGCATGAACGCCTGCAATGTTACCGGCACCGACGTAAGCGTCGACGCCAGCACGAACGCCAGTGCCGTGCCAGCACCAACGCCAGCGCCTACATCAGCACCGATGGCAGCACCGACGCCAGCACCAACGCCGACGCCTACACAAGCACCGACGCCAGCATGAACGCCTGCGATGGCGCCGCCACCAACGCCAGCGCCTGCAGTGCCGACGACAGCACTAGCGCCAGCACGAACGCCGGCGCCTGCGACAGCACCAACGCCAGCGCCTACACCAGCATCGAGGTCATCACGGACAACAGCACGAATGCCGACACTTACCCCGGCATCGACGTCAGCACCGACGCCAGCATGAGCACCTGCGATTGCGTCGGCACCACCGCCAGCGCCTACACCAGCGCCGACGCCAGCATTGACGCCAGCGCTGACGCCAGCTCCGACGACTACGACCTCCCAGCGGCTAAATTCAATGCACGACCCCAGAGCAGGGCGTTGTGATGCTGGTTCCATGGCGCACCTGTGCCACTACCCGTGCCCGTCACCTTGCAGCCCCCATTTTGCATGGGGGCGTCTACCAGCAATACTTAATATGGCCCTGATGTTCTTCATCAGACGTTGCACCATCAAGATAGGCATGGAGGTCTCGATACCAGTGCCGGGAGACGGCGTTGTGATGGCGACGGCGTGAGCCACATTACTGGGAAATGCCCCCTCTCGCGTTTCTCTTCCTCCACTTGCCTTGTGGAATGCATTGCAAGATTCTTCGTGGTCATTCGCGCCCTCGGCCCTGCTGCCCTGAAGCCGGATTTCTCACCAGTTTAGTCTTCGTTTGCACAAGCCCGATATGTTGTGAGTCCAGCCGCTTGCTTTGACTATCCCGTCCCGACAGATGAGGCGCTATGCATGTAGCTTGGGCCTTCGGAGTACTAGGGGACTTCCTGTTGCACGTGTCCGATGCACGAGTTACGCCGTGCGGCTCGGAGGAGCTGTTGCGCCTCCACCGGGTGTTGGGCCTCCCGTGGTGGCAGCGCTGCACGCTCATGATCGTGGTCTTCCCTCTCCTCCTCCTCCTCCCCCTCCCCTCGCCGACCTTGCTCCCGGCGCCGGCGCCGATACGTTTTGGGATGAGTTCGTGCCGCTTTAACCGCCCGGATGTCCGCCCCTTCCCCGTCCGTTCGCCCGGGCAGCACTTGCCACGCGCAGCTCCTCGTTCAGCGGCCGGCTTTTCGCGGGGGGGGGGGGGGGGGGGCAGCCCTTGTGGTCTGCCCAGGCGGCCACCACCTGCTGGCAGCGTAGGGGCTGTGGCAGCACCATTCTCCTCCCTCAAGAGGAAATCCGTCGATTAGCATCGATTGGCGTCTGCGAGTCGATGAGATAGCGCCGATCTAGCGTCGGTGAGCGTCGACGGGCGTCTACTCAGCGCCGATTCGCGTCGAGCCGCAAGAGCCGACAAGATAGCATGGGAGATTGCCAGGCGTTGCCGCCGAAGAGGGAAGACGGGGCAGGAGGGCGAAGACGGAAGACGGAGCAGGAGGGAGGAGGCAGGGAGGCCGTGGCAGCACTGCGGCTCGGGCGGGTGGCAACGGGGGGGGACCCGAAGGGGCGGCGGAGGAGAGGCCCCTAAGCAGGCGGCCCCTTCGGGCTCCTTTGGGGCCCGCCTGGCTCCCGGTGG